GTTTGTGGAGGAAAGTGTTTGAGGTGGAAGAAATGAAGGGAGTTGTTTTTTCTTAGTGGGGAGTTGGGTGACGAAGGGGTTGGGAAGGGCCGAGTGGGAGGTTAGTGCTGTTGGGAGAGAAGGGAAGGGCCGAGTGGGAGGTTAGTGCTGTTGCGAGGGAAGGGAAGGACATCTTGGTTCCAAAAAAGGTGGGGACGATTCCATCAATGAATAAAATTGGTGTTTCTAATTAGAATGGTTAAGAGGGCGAGGGATAATACTTCCTGAGCAGGGAAGGTTAGCGGAAGAAAGTGAAGAGTGTTTGAGAGTGGCTCTCTGCATGTTGGATTGTGATAGAGGAAGCAGAATAGATGTAAAAGAAAACTTTTGTAAATAAAACAAACTTGTGGTTTGTTAACTGAATCAAATTGGTCTAAAGAAGATTTTCTAAATATTTATGGACCACATGTTTGACTCTGAAAGCATAGTGTGAAGCTGCAAAATATCGAGAGATGATCCGATAGGTCCACTTTATCCCTTTTTTTCAGTCTCCTTAAGCCAAAGTACCACTTTAAACATTCTAAACTGATAATTTAATGAAATTTAATGTTTTGTTACTTGCTGATGATATTTTTTTAGAATTTTGTCTTCCTCCATCTCGTCTCATCAATGCTAAAGATTTGACGTGTCCTCAACCGATAACCTCTGAAAATGAAGTGATTAATTTTAAGCTTGTATATAACTTGCCTTTAACTGAGCTTTGGTTGACGGTTCCTGTTCTCTTTGCCATAAGCACTCAATATAGATTGATACAGCTTAGGAATAAAAGCTATTTGTCTTTGTTTAGTTTATTTTATTTTATTTCTAGCAATTTATTTTTCTTTCTGTCGGTTGCTTCTATCTTAATCGGTACTATCTAGTTTATTGCGCAGTTTTTCCTTAAAATTATCTATGAACGGTACGTCAACTGAGATTTATTTCTCTTATGCAGAAGTACATGCCATGCTTAGCTGGCATCTTCCCTCATGTGCTTGTAGATGTGAGCAGTATTACTGCATTGTGTGTACGCTGGTTTCCTAAAGGTACAAACAAGCATACAACTTTTCTCATTATGTTCTACACTGTTGTCTTTGTAGCTAGAGTTCAAAGTTCTGTGAAGTAAGACAAACTTCCAAATCTTTAAAATTACTGCATTATTAACAAAAGCGAAAATGCAAGAAATCATGCATAAAATTTAAGAATTTAATATTTTTTTAGGAAACCTAATAAACTAGGTTGAAACTTGATGATCCAGAAGAGATGTGTAGATTTTATCCAAGGTCAATTAGACATGTTAGGGATGGAGAAATGTTGTCCTTCAATTGCTTGTCATAAGTTGATTGCCAATTCCGTGAATTAACACTAAGCGCAGATGATAAGGATGATGTACCCATAATTATTTGGGCTTCTTTTTTTTAAGCAGCATTAACTGTAGGATACAACCAGGCATAAAAATTCTCACAATTTTATTTGGTTATATCTAAAAAATTAAAGGTGGTTACATTTGTCTTGTTTTTTTCAATATTTTTTTTTT